TCATATGCTCAGATGTCTCATTTCACAATCCATCATTAGGAAAGCCCATGGCTTGAGGTCAAGTTAGAGTTTTCCTACTGAGTACTTTCCAGTACTGTATATCTGAAGGGCTGTTCTCTTCTAATACCTAGGTTGTTTTATTACCAGCTAAATGTTCTCTGTGTTACCTGTGAATGAGGGCATTGTGACATTTTAGCAGCTGATTTGATTGAACACAGATGTGAACTATGCTCCATGTGGAGAAGATCCAGAAGGAAAAGATCTTGACTTGTGCTTCTGATTTTAAAGGAGTGTATGAGATGGAATGACACAGACCTCCATAAGAATAATTGTGCTATTTCCCTCAAGCAGCCATGCTCTCCTATTGCAAAGGGCAGAAGTGCTGGGAAATTAGCAAAGAGGCTGAGAGTAGATTTGCATGCACATTACTGACAAAGGGCTGCCAGCACTCCCATGAATTTGAATCAAAACTCGTGCAACCAACTTAGACAGGTTGCAGCCTGTGTGAATTTCCCATGGAACATTCCCACAAGTCCCGCCAACAAGATTCAGGAGTGACTTTGCTCTTGGCTGGAGATTAGTGCTGGCTTTAGACCTCTGAGGGCCCTTGGGCAAGACACCCTCAATGGGCTCCCTTCCTTGGGTGAGACTGCTTTCCCACCAGCATCGTCATCAGCTGTTGCAGCTCATCTTCTTTCTCATCATTTGTATGAGAGAGCCAGTGAGCAAGCGGACAGTGGCATCCGCTGCTTTTCCTTCTTACTGTCACTGCTTTCTGAGCCAAGGCAAGAGGCAGGTGAATAAGCAGACTGCAATCCTGAAAAGGAGGAGTAACTCCAGGGGTGCTCATCCAGTAGCTTGTGCTGGAGTGTGGGCCTTCAGCTGCCCAACCATGCCTGCCTTTGACATCCGCTCTGCTGGTGGCACTCTTCTTCAGATACATCTGAAGCTTCTGAAGCTGGAAAAAGTATACTAAACATCACATAATCTTCCACCTGTTAGAGTTTAGAGCTTTTCTTCTTGCACTTTAGTTAAGGAATTTGCCTGGAATTCTTCCAGTGGAGCTGGGCAAATGAATCACTTCCACTGGTTTGTCTTCAGTTCACCCAGAGTAGCTCTGAGCAAGCATGATGTATTTTAGGTGCTGAGTCTAGAGAATTGTTTTGTTTTGCTTCTTTTGCTTGTTTGCTTGGAAATGCAAAGCTGTTGACACGTAGATACTTCTGTGATTTATCTTCTTGGCATGAAGGCTCCAACCTGAGTCCAGAGCAGTGCTGGATGGAGGATTCCAAAATGAAGTTGGCACCCTAAAGGCAGACTCTGTGGCAAGAGATTAACTCTTGACCCTTCCTATGCCTTTAATTCTCCTCTTCTTTTTTGTCTAAAAAGCCAGATGTGATGGCAAATTAGTGCTGGAAGCAGATTCTTCTTCTAGAGTGGGATATGGGGGTGGGTGGGTTTGGCATGAGATTCATTTCTCCCTGCATGTACTTTTGTGACTGACTGCACTTGGCGAGCTATAGTTTGTTCAGCTGTCCAATCCCCTACTTAATCTAGGGTCTTAAAATAAAAACAAACAAGCGGATATTCAGAGAAAGGACACAGCATGGAGACACTGAGAAGCATTTGTTCCTGCACTTTGGCTAGAACGGTACTCTGCCGGTCCCATGCACAGACTCCGTGACGGCTAAGGAAGCTGGCAGTTCCTCCATTGAGAAACTGAGTCAGAGATCTGATTCTTCTATTTCTGTTTTTACATAGAAGAAGGAAAAACAACAAGAGCAACACCCCAGGAGGTAAGCTAATTCCTGCTCAGTGCAGAGTGATTTCAACCACTCGACAGGGGCACAGAGCACCCAATCCACAGACGGTTGGTCCTCTGGTCTTTAACATGAAGACAAGGCTGTAGAAGGGATCAGAGGCTTACAATGCCATCCTATATGTGTTGACTCAGATGTCAATTCCATTGAGATCAGTGAGGCTTACTTCTGGGTAACTGAGCATAGGATTGCGGACTAAGTGATAATGAACTTTCGGTCTGCTGCCTTCCCTGATACTCATTGGCCTCCTCTTCTCCACAAGAAAAGAAGCAACCAGTGTTTTCCCCAAAGAGATTAAAAACAAAAACAAAACCCCCTCAAAGGAAGCATGCCTCCAGGAGATGAAGTCGTTCCCCTTGCAGCCCCACTGACTGAATAAGGAATTATGAGAGCTGAAGAAGACCTTCTGGTCTGAAGGGAGGAGGGAGTGACATCTGGAGACCCACAGGTTTCCACCACTGTCCCAGATTCTGCGAGCAGCCCTAAATGATAAATATGATAACACTGGATTGATTATTATTCGTTCAACAGTTAAAACGAGGAACATTTGACAGTTTTCTAGCAAAAGCTTCTAGAAGTGCTTTACCTCATAGTAAAGATTAGGTAGGAGGTTATATTAGGTAGGTGAGAGCCAGTGTGGTGCAGTGGTTAAGAGCATGGGACTGGGACTCAGACGATCTGGGTTCGAGTCCCCACTCAGCCATGGAGCCAACTGGGTGACTTTGGGCCACTCACAGACTCAGCCCAACCTACCTCACAGGGCTGTTGTTGTGGGGATAAGATGGAGGAGGAGAATGATGTAAGCTGCCTTGAGCCCTTTGAGGAAAAAGGCAGGATATAAATCACAAGATAGATAGATAGATAGATAGATAGATAGATAGATAGATAGATAGATAGATAGTAAAATGCATTAGATAAAGCAGTTGTAAAAAATGAAATCCAAAATTTAGCCCTAAAGCACAGATATACAATCTTTTCCACTCCAAGGACTATGCTGGGAGTTTAGCAAGTTGTCAGGGACTGCTTATGTCCATGCACACATACCCACATACTTTCATTCACGTTCTCTCTCCTCTCTCTCTCTCTTGTTCACATGCACACACACATTCACTAGCATTATCAATGGAAACAGTCCTCTGTTCTCCAGTTAGAAGAGATCAGAAACAAAGGGTTTTCCTTGCCAGCCTTAGTATTTGAGCTAACAGTGGAAACACTGGTGGGATCACTATGGATATACAAGCTGCTCTAGAAGTGGCTGGGAGCTGCATGCATCCCACCGTTTGTGCATCCCTACCCTGACATTTCAGAATAAAGCACCAGAGGAACTAATCCAAAGGGACTCTGGCAACAGAGCCTAGAAAGCTCTCAGACAGAAGGAGTATCAGCCTGATATCTGCAGTGCTGTAGTGTCGCCATACTGTTATACTTAATCCCAGCTGGACCCAGGAACCTGAGAAGCTTGTAGGTTCTTGACTATTCTTACATAATGGTTTTTCAAGGCTTAGTTCCTGAGTCTGAGCACTTCATCTCACTGAGTAACTGCACCAACTCTCCTTGTTTGCCTACTCTGTGACCTGATGACCATCCCCATTGTGTCCAATGCCTCTGACTGTATGGATCTTTGCTTGCCTTCTCTGGAATCTGATCATTGGCGCAACTTCAACCATGTTACCTGCTTCTGTCCCTGCTGGACCCTGACATAAATTTCATCTGTGCTCTTCCTTGATTCTTCAAGGCCTCATCAGTAGGTATGACCAGCAGCCACTGACTTCCCCAACTCTTGGTAAAGAAGGCTGATGGAAGCACTGGGGGAAGAGCTGTTCAGCTGTCTTGCTGGTGTCGCTCAGCTGGACCCACAGTGGCCACAGAGAAATAGGCCTCTGCCTGGAAAGTACAAGGCCCAGATTACATAAAATGTCCCAAAAGAGCACTCATTCCTCTTCCCCCAGGCAGAGGGTCACAGTGCTCCTGGCCCTTTCTATTTATCACTTGATAACTCGTCACTTGCTAACTTACAACTGACTGACTCTGTTGCAAATCATTGTGTTTATGGCTGATGTGCAGGTAAATTAAAGTTCTGTGGTATCTGGTTTGTTTTATTATTTTATTTTATTTTAGGCATTTTTATCCCATCCTTTACCAAGTTCTCATGACGACGATACAACAATAAAAAAGCAGCATCTAATAAACAAAACCAGATAAAAACCAATGTTAAAACTAATCAACTCTTAAAATATCAGGAAAATAAAAAGGATTTGGTCTGGAGCCGAAATGAATATAGTGCTGGCACCAGGCGCAACTCTCTGGGGAGCGCGTTCCAAAGCCAGGGTGGTTTGTTTATGGCTCCTCCATAGATACAGGCTATCGTTTGCTATTCTAATGAAGAACATGGCTGTATGACTCATCCCTCAGCTGGGGCTCTCCATTGACATGTTCAGTGGCAATTTTATATAAGAAAGCCTTGTGTCTTCGGCAGTTAATCCTTGTTAGATATTTTGCTCAACCAAGGTATTGACTCAGGAGATAAATATGCTGGTGTGGATGACTCTTCCATAAAATTATAGATATTGCCCTATATAAGTGTTATTTGTATTTCTTAGTCAACTGTCAAAGCTGATGCCCATCTGCATGTCATGTGGGGCGGAGAGCAATAAATTAGTGCCATTTATGCAGAGTTCCGATGTTGTGAGGCCACATATGGGGGATGCAGAGAATCATGCACAGAATTCTAGGGAATCAAGATGAGGACATCTAAGGTTCTATTTCTATCTGTAATTCTCAATGGTTTCAAAGGACCACACCTTTGCCCTAATATAAGAGCTGCAGCTACATGGGAGAGAGCTACGTGGTAGAGAGGGTATTTTGTAGGGAGAATGTCCTCAGTTTAATTCTAACTTCTGGAAGTCTTCGTTGTTTTAAAAGTGATCGGGTGGCAAGAAAGCAGGTTGGTGAGATTGTTGTGACCAACCGGAACAAACAGTGCTGGCTTAGCAAACAAAAGATTTGACCTGATAAATTGCAATTTCCTGTGCTCCTAAAACCATCCCTTCACAGGTGATGATGGAGACCAAGCGAGGCTGAGATGAAAACACTCACCAAGGGGACAGTTTGGCCATATGTATTAGGATTAGTACTACTCTATTCATTTTGTTCATCCTATTTTTTATTTTGTTTGTGTAGGTACCTCAGGGATTTACCAGGGACCCAATGGCCTGACCAGTTCTGCAGGGTTCAGCACAGTGCACCAGGTACAGCTTCCAAGTCTTCTTTACGTGGCTCATTCATTATTATTTACCTTCCAGGTCAAACCTCCTCAGGAGAAATTCCATCACTGAAATCACTAAGAAGTAATGATAAAATAGCAACAGGCTAACAGTGGTGATATAACATTGTGCTCAATGTAAGCATAGCTAAAACATTACCAAACTGAACAGAAGTATGGAAAAAGCACCATTTTTGAACAAAGGAGTATTTAAAGCCTTCTTAAAGGCCTATAATAATAGGACTAAATGTGCTCCACTGGAAGAAACATTCCACAGGCATGGGGACGAGGCAGCTTACATCATTCTCCTCCTCCATCTGATCCCCACAGCAACAACCCTGTGAGGTAGGTTGGGCTGAGAGTCTGTGACTGGCCCTAAGTCACCCAGTTGGCTCCATGGCTGAGCAGGGACTAGAACCCAGGTCGTCTGAGTCCCAGTCCCATGCTCTTAACCACTACATCACACTGGCTTTAAGACATTCAAGTCTTAAAACAGGGGTGCAGAACTTCTGGCCCACATTTTGGAAGAATTTTTGGGGGCTGCGTTTCAGTGGTGGACAAGGCCAAAGGCAAGAGGATTGGGGGAGCAAAATACCCGAAATATCAGTATATTTTAATGTAAAGCTGTGTCAAACTTTTCAAACTGGGGGAGACTGCCTAAAAGTGGGGAAACCTCCAAATGATTGTTGTTGGAGGTGGGTGGTGCAGGGAAGGGTGCATAGCCTACAAAGTAACTCTAAAGGACCGGATTGGGACCCCTGGGCAACTTGAATCCGGCCCTCAAAGCTGAGTATTTGCAAACCAGCAGTTTTATTTGACTCTGAAAATGCTTCAGCAAGCATTACAATTAAGATTCTGACCATAGCTTTGTCCCCACTCATATCTGGGAGGCCAGCTGAAATTTCCAAACTGTCTTCAACAGGACCCCCCATGTATAGTACATTACATCTGTCCAGTTTGAAAGTCACTACAGCATGGGTTACTGAGACAATTGTATCCTCTCCAGACATGATCTCAGTTGGCTTATCAGTCTAAGCTGATAAAAGTATTTCTGGCCACTGTTGTCACCTAAGCATCTGTAGATATTGTCCATGAGAACTCCCAACCTGGGAGTTCCCGTTTGAATTAGTTTCCTCCTCCAAAATATATGTCTTGTCTGAATTGCCTGTCTTGTCTGAATCTGGCTTGGGAAGGGCCATAGCTCACTGACAGAGCACTTGCTTTACGAGGTCTCAATCTATGTCATCTCCAAACAGGGCTGGAAAAACTGTTTGAGAGCCACTGCCAGTCCATGTCAACAGAAACAGGTAGACAGAACAGTGGTCTGACTCCATCCAAGGTGGCTTCCTATGCCCCTGTGTTGTTCCTTCCCATCCATCTCAAGCCCTCCTCCAAACATCAGTACACGAGTTGCCCAGTCTTCCTCAGATAAGTAGATTGAATTGAGAGACAGAACTGACCGTCGTCCACAAATTCAAAACATTTCAGGCCAACCCTCCAGATGGCTTATCTGGATAGTTTTATGTGGATGTTAAACAGCATGGGGGACAAACAGAGTCCTGAAACCAAAAACCGTAGACTAGAACATGACCTTCTGGAATCAGGCCTCCAAAAAGGACCGGAAATATCATAACCCCCGCAAATGCATGACTAACTTCCTTATGAGTTATCTCTGATTATCCTGCTTCACATCTGATTTTTGGAGACAATAAACTGTATCTACAGACGCGCACAGAGCTCAACAGCTTGGCAGGGGGCTTGGCAACCAATGTTTTCAAAATTATTTCCTTCTCCCCCCCAACCTCGCTCGCTTCTGTCCCTCTTCCTACCCGTCCTGGCCCCGGTTCAACACTTAGGTTGCAGTGCTGAAAACATTTCCCAATTCTTATGGGGAGACCACAGTATCATATGAACAGTTCTTTTGAAAACTGGCAGTTTGTATCCTTTTATGGAGAGTTCCCTCTTCTTTCTTTTCCAAGCTTGGCTTTAGGGTAACAAATGTGCATAAACATTATAGAGTGTTGCACTGAGACCCCTGTGTGTGCTTGCTTTCTTCCTTATTTGGATGTACACCTGTTTAAGAACATAATGCTTTGAATATGTTCACGTTTATATGTAAAATGCCTGTGCGCACACACACACACACACACACACATATATGGTATAGATATGTTACATACAGAAACTGTATATGAGAATGCTTGATATATATGAAGTCAGTTTTGTTTTTCTTTTCTTTTTTAGCAAATGCTGCAATGGGCATTCATGGCTAAGTTGAAGTCATTGAAATTATGGGGCATAAACCCTTTTCCAAGAATTGCATCTTAGAAAGCTCTCTCCGCTCCAACAGATTTGTCCAGTTTGAGAGAGGGAGCAGAGGCTGGTAGTTTCAAGGTTTGCCAGTGAAGATTCTCAGACAAAGTGTGAGAACTGGCCTGTCTTGGAAAGGGAGGGAGACATTTCAGAACTGGGGAGCAGGAGGCGATGGAGGGGGAGTTCTTTGACTCTGTCAGGAGATGACAGGCAAAACAAGCAGACCAATTATGAGGTGTTCGGTGTTCTTCCCATCCAGCCCTCAAGCTGTAGGAGTCACCCTGAGAGTGGAGTTGGATTCTTTTCTGAAAGCGAGGGAAGGCAGGGAAATTTCAGTTTGGAGTCATGGATGCTTCTCCCACATCTCCAGAATAACACTACTTTGATTTAAATTATTTTGTAGCCTGTTAAGCTTTAACAAAAGGACTGTGCTTGTAAAGTTTTGCTTGAATTTGCTGGAGAGGAAAAGAGGAAAGGAGAGACCAACTCTCTGCATTTGTGAGAAACAGTCTGTATTAGGCAAAGTTACTACTAACCAGAAGGTATTTTATATCTGTTCCACGGTTTGCAAATTTCTGCAATAAGAAAAAAGGCAGAAGAAGCAATGGGAAAGCACATATAGGTTATGAATGGAAGACCTACTTGTAAATTTCTGTGGACCAGGCTAGGTAATTGCTCCATAAAAGTCTCACCTGGAAGCACAGCAAGTCTTCTGTTATTTTCTGATGTGTGCTGTTGGGAAGAGACCTTAAATTACCATTTCATTGTAAGTTTGAGAATGTGTGAATCACACAGAATGACAGGAAGTTGTTCATCTGCATCCAACTGTTAGTTGCTTATCATAGGACTGCTGGACCAGTCAATCAGAAAACAGATGGGGGTTGCTGTGTCTCATATATAGCACATGATGGCTAATGTATTTCATGACTCAAAAAAGAGGCTTCTTTGCCTAAAACATTGTTGGCTGGTAGACTCTAAAGCCAGATGCACAAGATTGGAGTTGCAGTTTGCAGTGTTGTGTACAGTTAACTGTTCGTGTATAATGCCAAACCAAGTTCCTTCTGAAATGAGCCACGGATTTTGCACTTGTGCTCTGCTTTTCATGCTCAACTTCAGTGAATAATCACTTGGGTTTCATCAGACCATGCACACCCTCCCACCAGGGTTACAAACCATGGTTTGACCCAGGTTTGAAACTTGAATTAAAGGGCAAATACAAACCATGGTTTGCCGGTCCAAGTGTAATACAGTATGAAATGCTGGTTTGATGAAATCAGGAAGTAAGTTGTTACAGTGAGGTGTGAGCTGATGCCACTTTGATTCTGTGGGACAGCTATTTAGAAAATCAAACAGAAAATGCTATCAAATGTATTGTAGTAACCGGAGCATGCATAAAGGAACCTGCTAGATCACTAGCATTAAATTCCATTCTGGAGGGAACACTGCAATCAGAGATGGTTCACTTCCACAGAATGTAAGTTGGAAACTAGAATGATGCATGCAATGCTTGCAAGAACAATGAAAAACATTCCTAAGGCAAGTTGTAGTAGGCCTTAAGTTGCAGGGCTGTTACTTACGTTTACTACATATTACGTATTTTGCTTGTACACAATGATTAGAGTTACTGTCTCTTCTTCCAAAGGAGTATTCTTCATATCCCAGCTTCACCCAAAGCCAGTATTCGCAGTATTACAGCTCTTCCTACAACTCTTCTTACATGTCTGCAAATAGCATCAGCCCATCAGCCATCCCAACATCTGCCTATTCCCTCCAAGAAGCATCACACAACATCAACAGTCAGAGCTCCGAATCACTTCCTGGTAAGTGGATCAAATTATTAGAATTTCTCTCTCTCGCCTCCCTCCTCACCTTTACCATGCCATTTCAGCTCTGGATAGGACTCAGGGATATGTCCTGTTTGCAGGGCTAACACTCATTCCTGGAACTAAAAGAACAATAATAGAACCAAGTGATGTGTGTACAAAGTGTGTTTGTTTCATTACCAAATAAATAAAGCAGATTCTAAAGGTTAGCACTGAATTAAAACTGGGGATACCTGGGGACAAATGTTCAGTCAGCCAAGAAGCTCAGTGGGTGAGCTTTCGCCAGTGACCACCTCACAGCCTTACCTACTTCACAGGGTTGTTTTACAGATACAAATGGGAAGGAGGACCATTTCTGCTACTTTGAGCTCCTTGGAGGGAAGGTGCATTATATATAGCATTATATCTATGGATTACATTTCTATACCACCCAATAGGCAAAGCTGTCCAGGCAGTTTGCAAAACTTTTAAAGCATAAAATACAAAAAAACATTTAAACGTTTCAAACTACAGTATGAAATAGAAGTAAAAACCAAAACCTAGCAGCAGTGCAAAGATGTTGCAACTAACATTCCTAGCAAAAGAAGGTCTTTACCTAGCCCCAGAGACGTTACAGCACAGGGGCCAGGCAAGCCTCCCTTGGAAGTTAATTCCCTAACGGGGATGCCGCAACACAAAAGGCCCTTTACTTAAAAGCCACATTCCTTTGGCAGGGACTCCCTCAGAAGGACTGCTGAGGTCCATCTTAGGTCTATAGGGGAGGAGACAAACCTTCAAGTAACTGAGCCCTAAGCTGCCTTGGACTGTGAATGTTAGTAACAGCACTTCAAATAGCTCCGGACATAGACTGGTAGCCAGTGCGGATGGTAAAGTATCAGCCTAACATCACCATGCTGGCCAGTCTCCATTAGCAAGCTGGTCGCCCTGTTTTGGACCAGCTGTTTCCAGACTGTTTTCAAAGGCAGCCCCATGTATGGTGCATTGCAGTATTCCAGCCGAGGGGTTACCAAAATAAATAATAAATCTAATATCAGTAAGAAGGGATTCCAGATAAGGCAGAGAACTTCTTAAAGCATGTCAGCTGTGGCGCTTCTCCCCTGCTCCCCCTTTCTTATTTCTGTATTTACTTGAAGCACTTATTTCTATACTTGCATGCATTTTTAAATGGAAAGGCTTCTCCTGAGTAGGCATGTATAAGATTGTATTAGTAAGTCATTTCATTGTCATATTGTTTATAGAGATCTATTGTTGATTCAAAATAAACAACACAACAATGGATAGCCTTAACAGCAATCTTACACTTGCCTATGCAGAAGTAAGTCTCACTGAATTTAGTGACACTGAAACTTGGGCATGGATGGATTATTTCCAGTTTGTGCCAGTTTGGTTTGTATTCAGTCATAAGGCTGTTCTGTCCTACTTCCATATAGTCTGAGTTAGGACTGCAAAAATACACATTTGTTTTTGTACACATTTCCCCCAAAATGGTACTGGCATAGGTCACTCCCCTAAAATAGCATTTTTGTATGTAATTTTCCCTATTTACCATTGCACACATTTGCAGTGATATACATATTTCATTGTACACTTTTATGTTGAAAATAGCATTGCAAAATTTGGAGATTTTGAAGTGCAAAAATGAAAGAACACCCATGTTCTAATCCACCTATCTGGGAAGTGCAAATTAAGGCCATTCAGTTAAAATTCAGACTAAACCAAGTTGTCTCCCACACCTGATCCTAGGTAGATGTGTACAGAATTGTACAAGGATTAAAAATAAAACAGCAGCATGAAACAAAGCTGCAGCAGGCCCAAGGAGAACATGCGTCTGTTATCTAAAGGCTTGAGAAAATAGAATGGTCCTAGAATAGCTCCTAAGCTACGGTAGTGGTGATGCCAGGCTACTTTCCCAGGGTGAGAGTCCAGAGCTGTTGTGGCATCTCGGCCAAAAAACATTCCCTGGTAATCACTTCCTCACTTGAGATGCCAGGACCCTTGGTTCTGACCTTTATTGAAAAAAAGGTTCATTTGGGAGAGGATACACCTTTAGCTGCCTGATCCTAGAATGTTTATGGCTTTAAAAGTAAGAACCAGCACTCTGAACAATGTCTGAAAACAGACCAACCAGAAAAACTGCTTCAGTACGAGCAGAGCAGAACAATTCCATCATCCGTTATGTAAGCTTGCCTATTAACATCAAAGCGTAAGCGCACTATCTTTCTGAAACCTCAAACATGATACTATAAAATTATTGACCTACAATTATGATCAGAAGTTTAGCAAAGGAAGGTAAAACTTTAGAAAAACAAGTATGGAAGGCAAATAATTTCACATCTATGAAGGATTCGATCACAGTGTGCATTTACTTAGACTCAACAAGTAAAGACCATGAAGAAAATAAGGAAGGGGTGAGAGACCTGACCAAAACTTGACATTGCAGAATTAAATTACTGACGGTAGGGATATCACACACAGATGGGTGTGGGGGGAAACTGGTGGTTTCATATTCTGATTTAGAAACAGAGAAACTGATTTTTAATCAACTGCCTTTAAAATCTAATTTTATGGAAGGTTGGTTAGAATTCATACTGATTGAGATCTATTTAAAAGGAGCTATAGGTTAACTGATTGAGTAAACAATTAATAATGAGCTCTACAGTAAAGTAAAATTTAAAAAAACAACACCTTCAATTTGTCTGGAAAGCATCCAGGATTTCTTAGTGTGCTCAGTTTTTCAATTCCAGAGGCTCTGATGCATTACCTTCCAAGGTATTGTTGGAATATGGTCTTCAGATATCATTTCCCTGGTGAAATTTTCATTGGCAGGCAATATAATTTGTATAAAGTACTATGTCATTTGTGGATAATCACTGTATGTGCAACAACAGTGAGCTCTGCTTAGTTATTGAGCAAGCCTGCACATCTGGCGTTACTCATAAAGAGAAATAAACTAATATTGTTTTTTTGAGGAGTGGGGATGCGATCACAGATTGTTCTGGAAGGACTTGGGAGGATTTTCCTCTCTGTGAGACCCATCTCAGCACAGAAGCAGAGGAAGCTACCTTACATGTACTGAGCAGGTCTGTTGGTCCAGCCAGTCATCTTCTCAACATGAACTGGCATAGGTTCTCCACATTTTAGGATGGTGCTTTCTCTGCCTTACCTAGAGATGTCAGAAATCAAAGCTGCAAAACGTTTGATCTCTCACTGAGTTACGGGCCCTTGCCACTAGGGACTTGAGGCTTCAAAATTCTTTCCAAGGAGAAATGCCCAAATTCATCTTTAAAATGATACAACTCAGTTGCTAAAGAGGTCTAAGAGGTACATATCAAGCAGAAAGAAAGTTAAAGTCTGAAGAAGTGGGTCTTACTGACATTCACATTGCCTACAATAATTTCTATTTAAAGACCCAAGGCAGGTAACAAATCTTTGACTCTTTCAAAAAATTTGGAACTGCTGCATTTGTGACCTCTGTTGAGCTGTTCAGCTGAATTAATACCTCTGTTCTAAGTACATTTCTTTGGAAATATGCTCCACTGATTTTCACTGGAATGTATTTCCAAGTCAGTGTGCTGAAGACATTTTCTCAGGGCCATTTTACAGGCTGTTAAAATTGAGAATGATTTTTAAATTAAAATAGCCAAAACGAAAATGTCATTCAACCTATAAAACTTCTCAGTTTTCCTTGGTTGTGGGCAAGCATTTTTTTCAGGATCAGAATGTGAAAAGAGCATGACAAAATGTTAAAAGGTTTAGATAAATTATGCCCAGAAGATGTATTTAAAGTTTTTTGGGCAGAAATGTTTAATATATATTGAAATAGCTTTGGATTAATCATATGGACTGTTTCAGGTATATTTTTAAAAGCATTTGCTAGGAGTTGTACTTTCCCAAAAGAATGCCTTTTCCACTTAGTAACCTAGGAAATTTTAATTCATTAATCATCCCATCCTTTCTGACAACTCACTCACAATTTTTGAACAGGCCCACCCTGCTCATCTCTCCTTGCAAGTAATGGTCACTGGCCTTAAAAGCAGTGATTCTTGCCTGCCTACAGTGATGCCAGAGAGACAATTTTGGGGAAAAATTCTGCAACTATTTTTCCATGGGAAACTTTCCACATCATATTTATTTATTCAAAGTTTTTGTATGCCATCCTCTTGCTATATAGTCTTGGGACTGCTTACACAAATAAATATACCATATTTTTCGCTCTATAAGACGCACCTGACCATAAGACGCACCTAGTTTTTAGAGGAGGAAAACGAGAAAAAAAATCTGAATCAAATGGTTTACTAAACTATTTAATAAACTATAGCAGAATACAGTAATACCGAATTTCAGCCTTGTAAAGTGAACAGCAGTCAACAGTGGCATTAAGAACCATCATCACTCTCATTAACAAAAGAGAGACCTTAAAGTTCGAGTACTCTTCTAGTTTTCGTTGAACCCACAGAACTCATCTTCACTAGAGTCAGAATTTATGAAGCTCTGTTGCTCACAATCACTGACATCACTTTCTTAGTCAGTAGTGGAATTATTGAAGGAATCCACAATCTACACCAGTTATACAAGAGCTGCTGCAGACAATTCAATAACAAAATTAAAAAAGCCAGTAATGTCCATGGTGCCCTACTAGTAAATAATAGAAAAAAACTTCTGGCAAAAAAATGAGATATTGTACGGTAAATCAAACACACAGTGGACTAAGTAGCATTTGAAGAATAAACTTCATACATGAAGGTAATGCTGTTCAAATATCTACTGATCCTAAAAAAAAATGTGTCTGATCAACTAACAGATATTGGTCCTTCTATAAAGCAGGCACCGTTCTGATCCATGGAAATCTTCCTGATAATCACAGGCACATTCCCCATCACTTCCCCATGGGCTTCATTAAAAGACGGGGTTTTTTTTAATTTTCCGATTTATATCCTGCCTTTTTCCTCAAAGGGCTCCAGGCAGCTTACATCATTCTCCTCCTCCATCTTATCCCC